GCATAATCGCTCATGGGCATGGTGCCCAGAACTATGGGAACTTCTTTGTACCTCTATGGGGTGGCGGGGGTGCAAACATGATGATTGCGTCCCTAGCAAAACACTTAAGGTCTCTGCAAAGTGCGCAAACTGAGTTGAACGGCCAACCCTTGCATAAGGCCCTTGTCGATCGAACCCCATACAGGGTTCAGCTGGAGGAGGAGCAAAGGCTTGCAGTATCGCATGGGGCCCCATGCCATCCCAGTGAATATGTTGGCCGTCAGATTGTAGGGTTATCACGTGAGGCCTCATGCCATTCCGACGAGGCTGGTCGCCCGGTGAATGCACAGCCTCATCCAAACGAAGCAGAATCTCAAGGAAGTTCTTGCGGCCGATGTGGCCTTCCACCCCATCTTCTGCTCCAAACAGACAATGCTGGCAGTGAGAACAAAAACATGTACGTCTTCGCGTACTTGGCGATGCTTGTTGCCAAAGGCATATTTGAAACGATTACACTTGGCTTTCTCATGGTTGGGCACACTCATGAAGACGTCGATGCCATGTTCAGTCACCTGGCAGAGTCCCTCCAGCAATCCAATGTCCTCACCCTCCCACAACTCTACGATGAATTCCAAAATTGCATCAAAGGCACTGTTGAAGCTGCACTTCTGACAGAGGTTCCAGACTTTAAGGGGTTTGTAAGAGGCTACATCAGGGACGGATCCGAAACGCTGATTGGCCACTCCAAGCCTCTTCAGTTTCATTTCAGCATGTGTGACGGTGCTCCAGTGATGAGGTACAAGATGAGAGAATGGGACACAGTGTGGCTGCCAGTGGACGGCATTGAACTCTTCAAGAGAGATCCCATAACTAGGGAACCTATGATTCCTCAGGGTTCCCCACGGCCGATGCACCCGGATGGACTCAAAGACCAGGAAAGTATAGTGGCCGGGATTAGACAGCATATTGCCTTCTGGAAGAGGGGGTTGGTGTTTGGTGGAGAATCCTATTTTCAGAGGTGCAAGCCTTTGCTCGAATACTGGGAGAAGATTATATCTGCTATCCAAAATGGGCCAGTTGTATATGAAGAATTGGAAGAGTCCTTTTGGCCAGAACCCAGAGCACCAGATAGTAGCGGAACAATGTCCTCTGGAAATGCAGTGACAGATAACGATGTTGAGGATCACTATTGTGGGCCGAGGAACAAGAAGCCGGATTCAGCATTCAATCCAGTACAGGTCTGCAAAGGAATGGTCGTGCTTGTCAGACCCAGTAATAAAAAACAAATGATATGGGTGGGGCGCTGCATCACTGATGCAGAGGAGGACGTGGAAACTAACTCCTTCAATGTAACTGTGGAGTGGTTCAAGCCAAGTTCTGGATATACGAAGGATTGCCTAGAAAAGAGATGGGTGCTGAATCCAAGGGATCCCAGCATGAGCATATCGGTGGATAATGTTGTGCATGGTTGGATGCGAAAGCAGAGTGCCACCATCACCTTGCCAGACCATGCAAGAGATGCAGCAAGAACATTCATAACCCGGGTTCAAGGTGAGATTCATGAATATTCCTTTACTAAGTTTCTAATGTATTTTATTTCAAGGTGAACAATCCGAATCTGAATCAGAGGAGGCGTGATGGCATGTGGCCTTACGCCATTCCTAGGTGAGATGATATAAATAACAAGTATAAATTCTTAGTTGTTCTAGCAAATCTTACTTAAAGTTCAAGGTGAACAAGCCGAATATGAATTCATCGGATTGTTATAACAAATTGCGAGGTGATGGCATGAGGCGATACGCCATTTGAGAGTGGTAGCCATTCCTATATGAGGTGAGTGAAGTATTTATTAGAAATACCTCATTCAATTGTGCACTTCTAAGTCTTGGTCCACTTAGTACTGTTTGCATGTTTTTATTTTAATTCTTTCTCTAAAATGTTATTTAGCATGTGGCTTCATGCCATTGCTCTCCACAATCATGCATTGAATTTCTATCCTTGCATAATACTTCTCCATATATATAGCATGTGTGCACATGTGATATGGTTCATTAGGCCTGATATAGTGTGTGAGGTAAAACAAAGATGATGTGACATATGCATTTACCAATCACACGTGCATAAATCTAATAATATGGCGTGTGGTCCATATTAATGGCACATAAACCCATATTGTGGGCTTACGTGCTTTATGTACCATCATTCCCTTGCAGCGTGTGTGTTGGTTTCCTTTTATAACACAACGAACTCCATATTTTAGGGTGAAGAGCGTTCTCATGGCAAGCACAAAATCTGTAAGTGAGGCAGAAAAGGAGACGGAGAAGGAGATAGGTGAAGATGTAGAATATATAAGTCTTCCAAACTCCCCGTACTATACTCCAGGTGATCATTTTTCTGAACAAACAGCAACATTAACAACTATCGAGAACGCCCCAGAAACGTCAAAGACAACAATCCAAAGCAAAACAACTGACCCGGAGAAGGATGATAGTACCGCTGAGAGTACCAAAAAGGAGGTGTCCACTAGCACTTAGGCTTATAATGGCGTGTGCCCTCATGCCATTTACTTGATCACCAAATACCTTTTTCCCTTTGCACTAGTATATCTTAATACTGGTTTGAGAAATAGAATGGCATGTGCCCTCAGGCCTTTTACTAAATCACCTTTGAAAGAAATGCAAGCCTCTATGTCGTAAAAAAAAGGTACTAGAGAAATTCCTTAATAATATGAATGTTATTTAGTTTCATGAAAATACACTAAGGGTCAAATGAGTTAAATGACTTCTCCAGACTAGCAATGCCTCTTGCTACACCTTCACAATTAGATTCGTTAGAAAAAGATAACATTGAATAATATCTAAATGTTCTCACCATTAAGTTATATGTCTGGCTAATAGGAATGACGTTCATCTTGGAAAGCTCACCACACGCTCAATGAACAAACAAATAGTGTGTGCGCGCATGCCATCGCTCTTCTTTAGCTTCAGATTCGGCTTGTTCACCTTGACAATGAGATTTATTATACAACCAGATGGACTCAGTCTGGACATAAAGTCACCGCGCTAGTCACCATGCCCCAGATATGTCTAGCCCCTGGACAAAAAACATATAATTTCACGTCATTTTCAAATACTTGAAAATTTGTACCTAGTCCCATTTTACTGAATAAATCCCACTTTAACAAAATAGAGCATCTTGCTAAAAACAAGATTATCGTCTAACAAAATCTCCACAAACTCATGAAGATAAAGCCCAAATACCGCCGTCATCAACCAAGTAAATGTGGCTGATGCATTCATCAAACCAAACGGCATAACTGTAAACTCAAAATGTCCGAAGCTTGTATTGAATGCCATCTTAGAGATAGATGCATCATCCATTGGAATCTGATGATATCCACTCCTCAGATCAATCTTGGTAAACACTCGTGCTTCACCAAGCTTGTCCAGGATATCATCCACACATGGCATCGGCATCTTGTCCTTCATTGTCTTCTTGTTTAAAGTGTGGTAGTCAATACACATCCATATTGAACCGTCCTTCTTCTTCACAAGCAAGACTAGAGCACCAAACGGAGACTTACTTAGCTGAATAAATCCAAACTCAAGTAACTCCTTGACTTGTCGTTGAACTTCTTGCTCCTCTGCATAACTTAACCGAAATGGATGCCGGTAAATTGGCCACGTCCTCAGCTCCAATGTAATCCCATGCTCCACACCTCGTAATGGAGGCAACCTATGAGGAAGTTCCTGTGGAAAAACATCAGAAAACTCATCTAGTACATCCCGTACTGCTGCTTCTCCCCCATACGTGCCTTGGTCCCCCAAGTCATGAACAAACAGCAAGTAATTCGAAAGTGCTTTTCCATTACGACAAGCCCGCTTCAAAGATGTAGCAGAGAGCATAACAATTGGTGGTTGAACGCCCTTGCCAAACCACACATCTTTAACGCTATTATACTCTAGCGAGATACACTTAATACTCCACTTTATCTCGGAATCCACCTTCACCAACCATGGCATCCCAAGAATGAGATCCACACGATGGATATCCGCGAGATAAAAGGTCTCCACAAGTGTGGTTTTGCCAACCAACACTTCCAACCCCTCGACATAAGCATCGAAATGTTGAGTAGAGGTAATTGCACCTTCCACTGTGTGTGGAAGAACTCCGCATGTGACTAGGCCATGCTCCGCAAGAAACTTTGCCGAAACAAAGTTGTCATCGCTCCCACTATCCAGTAAAATCCGCACTGGATCGCCACGGAACACGCCCTCCAGCATTAAAGCTGATTCACGCATATCCTTAAGCTCCATCTTGTTCCACACAAAGTTGAGCTGACGAGCAACGATCAAAAGTCGCTTCCTCCGACCGGAATGGTCGTTCTCCTCATCCTCACATTGCAAAGTTTGCAACTTTTTAGTATCTGACTTACCGTGAGAAGAAGATTGGCCATTCTTCTTGTCTTGCTGCTTGTTCTTCAACTGTGGACAATCAACTTTATAGTGTCCAAGTTCACCACAATGATGACAACTCTGTCTATAATTCTTCACAAAGAACTTCTGCTTCTTGGACCCCTTTGCATCTAAAGTAGTGCTACCCCGTCCAGCCTCGAGTGCCTCAATATGCCCATGCATGGTATCCATCATGCCATGCATCTCGTCTTGCATCTCTTGTTGATTTTGATTAAGATCTCGCAGTTCATGAACCACATCTTGAATGGTCCAAATCTCCGCAGCTTCGTCGGCACCATCATCGGCACCACCATCGACAATAGGATTCCAGTGTTCAACTTGGTCGGCCATCGGAACCAACTCCTCTAATACCAATGTTATGATCTAGCGCAAAAAGACATGCTACGCCACCTCTTGAGGTTCCTCACCACCCAACCACCCCCAAGCTACCTCAAAAGCTCCACTGCGCCGCCGCTCCACTATGAGCCCTAGGGTAGGTTAAGTCCCCCACCCTATCATGCCTTAATATACCCTTGAGCCTCCCTTTGACCGATGTTGACCATGTAGTCAAAGCTGGTGCCTAACAACGGGCCAGATAGAAAGGTGGTACCAAATGCTGGGCAGAATGATGCTCCTAGCTACAACCACTCTCACTGGCAAACCAAGTTTTCAAGGAGCCCACTACTGGATTGACGTTTGTATCCTTTGGAGCAAGGTGTTATTCTGGAGTGCTGGACTGAATTGGGTACCAACCTGGATTCCTAAGTACCTAGTGTCCTCTCCTGGTTTGAGCCACTAGAAGCCGATGTCCTGACCCCAAGATTCAATGCCTGGCTGCCCCCAATTTATGCCCATTGATTTGTTCCAGTTAATTGCTGCACCAGCCACGAGGTTGAAAGTCTCCAACGCCTTCTTGGCTGCATCCAGGTTCTCCTTGGTCGCGAGTAGGAACAAGGCTGTGTCATCTGCGAATGCTCCATCCAAGAGTTCTTGAGTCACTCTTGTGGTTCGTGGAAGTTGCTGTCTCGCCACCGGTAAGGTAAGTCCTTTGATGCGCCTGCCTTCTACAAGAAACATGCCCAAGGCCTCAACCACAATCAAAAAAAGATAGGGTGCAAGTGGACACACTTGGCGTACCAAGCGTCCCAGCTGAAAACTCAGTTCTGTCTCACCGTTGATTGTGACTCTGCTTGCAGCTCCTCTATACAGTAATGAGGTCCTAGCGACCATCTCTCTTGGGATGCCGATCGTATGCATATACTCCTCTAGGAACCTCTAGTCCACACAATCGTAGACCTTCTCGAAGTCCAATAATTACACTGCAATTTGTTGGTCAAAGGTCTCTACCCATCTCTAAGCCAGCAGGTACGTCCATATATTTTCTGCGATTTGCCACCCTGGAACGAACCATGTTTGCTACTCCCAGATGATCAACGGCATAATAGCTTGGAGCTTGAGTGTCATTGCTTTGGCATAGACCTTGTAGGACGTGTTGAGCATGGTGATTGGCCTCCAATTCCTCAATTTCTACAAGTCCCCCCTCTTTGGGATAAGCGCAATCTAGCCCTCAAGGATCTCGCCAGGCAAGGCCCCATCATGTTGAGCATCCTGCCATGCTTGCAGTAGCAACAGGCCTATAGTCTCCTAGTGCTCCTCAAAGAAGATGGGCAAGAGGCCATCAATACCTGGCTGCTTGTCATTGCTGAGCTTCTCAAGTGCTTCCCGAAGCTCCACTAGTATGAAGTCCATCCTCAGTGAGTCATACCACTCATGAGGGACACGCCAGGGAAGGGACGCAAGCACTTCCACTGCTACCTTCTCTCTTTCTAGAGTCCACCCCTGGGATGTGTATAATGCTTGGTAGAACTCCTGGGCAAGCCGTTGCATTCCCGATTGATCCTCGATGACCCTCCCATCGCTGTGTTTCAGTCCTAGGATGGGAGGAAAGTCAGTCACTGGCCTGATTCCGTTAAAAAAAGCCTTGTTGAGAAGGCATTCATTTAAGGCCCATCCATCTTCCATGGCCTAGAGACCCATGGTCCATGCTACGTACTCCAGGTCACATAGCTCAGCTTCCCATTCATCTAAAATACTGCTTGCCACTTGTGCTCATTTTGCATGTTCAGCAACATCCTACGTGCTGCTGCCACCTTCTGCCTGGCTAGTCTTAGGTCCTTCGTCGCCGCTCCTTTGAGGTCCTTTTGGCATGCTCGGAGCTTCTGGGAGCAAGACAGGAGCACCAAGATTAGCCCCATCTTGTCCTGTGCAAGAGTGTCATGTATAAGCCCGATTGCCACCAGGTCTTGCATCATTGCTCTTGCGATTGATCATTGGACTGTTGTCCCTTTGTCCCTTTGAAGCTTGATCACACAACGGAGGGGGTCATGATCTGAGAAAGAGGTGAAACCGAGCCATGTTTTGAGGCTTCCCCCATCCTGCCGTATGCAAGGTGAGGCGTAAATCCAGTCCAGTCTCGACTAGGAGGTCACTGTCTGCCACCTTGTAAAATGGTGAGCATGAGGTGTGAATCCCACAGCATGTTGGAGGTCCATGATCCTCAGTACATCCACGAGCTGACTCTACTGCTCCCGCTCATGTAGCTGAATTTTTTCCTGCATTCCCCTACTATCACAGATGTCCTTGACCATGTTTAAGTCTCCTAGGACCAGCCATTCATCTACTTGCCCCTGGGCAGACTGCAACATGCTCAGCCAGGAGCCCGGGTAGGTTTTGAGCTCATGAGCTCACAAGCTGAGCTCACGGCTTCTCAAACACAAGAAAAACATTGGTTCATCCCGAACCAACATCTTTCCATTCTTCAAATTTTGATTTAATCTATATTTCCAAGTAAATTCGACTAATAAAATACAAATATAAATATAGATCCGAACACTAAAAGCAATCTAAAAACACTTCTCAAGCTCCGCAACTGTAAGGCTTGCCTGGTGGATGTGATGGTCGATCTTAGGATCTTGGTTTAGTTCCTGCATAAAAATGTAATAGATGTGCTTGCAGGCTAAATATACCTTTCCCCTGTTCTCCCGCTGTGTAAAATCTGGACAGGTACATGATGGATTTTTGCAGATTTTAACAGTGTAGCTCGTACCCTTTGATGACTCAGTCACAATAATAAACTCCTTAGCCATAGCACTGATGTAGTTTGTCTTTGTGATTGTGCACTTTAGCTCTTTTGCCAGCTTGATCTTCTCTTGTGCACCTTTTGAAATGGAAGACCTGTATTGTATAGCCTTCCCATTCCTAGCTGGTCGTATATGCCGGTCTAGTGTTGATATTGGTGGCATAGCAGTACTAACAGCAACATTTGAGGAAGTCTTTAGCTTGAAACCTGCTCTCTCCAGACTTTCAATCTCTTCTTTCAAAAGATTGCAGCTTCGCTCAACTGGCCACTCCTCTGGCACAGAATCTGGCTTCAAAATAATTGAGCTGTGGATCCGGCTTGTATGAGTAACATCAGTCCCACAACAGTAGATCCAGCTTGACTGGCGGCCCTTCACTCCTAGATCTCGACAGCCCCAGAAACATGGCACTGCTGAAGAACTTGAACCTGAGCGCACAAAAGCGAGACACTGACCTCGACTCCCAATCATTCCAGAGCAACGTGCATTGCTCTTGGCACTGACTCTTCGAATTGCCCAGTTGATACGAGAAACTGGCTCGCGAGAAATAACCTTTTCAACCTCTGGCACTGGACTTACTTGTGTAACAACTGGCACCTCCTCCACTCCATGTTCCTTAGTTCTTTTCCGGTGTCGTGGAACAAAATGATAGTCAAACTCTGGACGGTGAGAGCTAGAAGGAGTGATGTTTGACCCATCAAATGTCTGTCGACGCTTCATACGGGCTGTTCTCATGTCCCCAAGTGGCTCATAACTTGATTTCATAGGAGTTCCAGCAACAACTTCCTCCACCATCTTGGACATTGACCCTGCTGCTGGTGTTGTCCTTCTACCAACCAGCTCTTGAAGCCTGTCTAAGTTCGGACCTGTACCAGCAAACCTTGCTTCCTGTGCAGCCAAAGCTTTTGATGATTGCTCAAGAGATCTAGTGAGGTCGGAGAGTGTAGCTTCATAGAGGGACACTTTTCCTTTCCCTGCTTCGGAAGCTCTCCAACTCCAATGTTTGCTCTCAGAGAGATTAATTGTTGGTGTAAGTGCAATATCATCAAGTGGTTGATCCTACAAAAAATGCAACATTTGAATGTGACAAGAAAGAAAATGAGAGAAAGCTTACATGGAGAGTATAATGACCCCACTGAAACATTCGAACTTCCCACCATGCAAGCCAGCATTCCATTTGTGGAAGGTTTTCAATTGGCACTTTGTCTCCTTCACGCCACCATATGCGCATTTCATTTGCCTTTGCCTCGTGCTCCTCTTTAGTTGGTGCATCCATCCATTTCTGACAAAGCTTTTCGCGAACCAACCTTTTCGAGCTTGAGTCTCTCTCACTCGTCACAAAAGAATGAAACTCTCTTGAAGGGAAGAGAGCATGGAGATAAGAGGGAGAACAAAAAATCAATGCTACAACTTTTGTGATTGATTGGCGCTTCTCACTCATAACCACATTCATTTCAACATTATTATTCCTCTCACAATCAATTATACATATCTTAATATCTA